CCATCCACCACCCTAATATTATTTTCTCTCCACTTTCATCACTTAAACAAAAGCCTAAAAATACTCCTTCCCCACTGCCAATTTCGTCCCTAGTCTTTCCTTCCTTAAAAACCTCCATTCCTTGCACAAAACCTCACCAATATAGCCTTATAACTTCCTCCTTTTTACCTTGCTGCCATTCGTGTCTCTCTACATTGGAGTTGGTGCCTATCACGTGTGTTGGTTTGTGGGGTCAGTCTACAATCCTATGAGCGGGCACTTACGGCTAGGGTGGGGGCCGGGGTGTTACAAATGGTATTAGAGCAACCCTGCGACCGTGACGGGCCAAAAGAGCTTAGTTCACCTAGCGAGGAAGATCTATGGGATCAAAAAAAAGGATGCAACGAGGACGTTGCATTCCTAAGTGGGGGTGCATGTAATACCCCTATCAAGATGGGAATGGGAAGAGAGCTCAAAAGGATTGATAGTTGGTAAGTTTATTTTGTTCTTATTTTATTCTACATATTTTAAGCGTTATTGCACGAAAATAGTAATAAATTTACCCATTAAAAGTGTCTACTAGTGACAAAACTGATGTTTTGTCTCAAGAAGAATAAAATACATGTTCCAAATTAAATTAAGTGGATTTGTCAATTTTATGTCCAAATTGGATAAAAAGTTTCACATTTTAAAGATCATAATACTTCGGAGGTAGAAATCAGTGTTCGAGAGTCAAACGGACCAACACGGAGCAAAAATGGGTCAAGATCTCGGATTTGGATCTTGGGCGTCCAAAGTTGGATGCCCGGGGTAGTTGGACACCCAGGGAGTAGGACGCCCGTACTCCCTGCCCTATAAATACACCGCGGGTCTCCACCATTCCATCACCAATTCCGAAACCCCACTCAGGTTTCTTCTCAATTTTGGTCAATATTTCGTGTAGATTAGTGTTAGTATTAGTTTTGAAGTATTTTCGGAGGTTTTGACTTTAGATCGGTTCAATTCCGCTTGTACGGAAGCCGTAAGTTACCTTATTTAATAAAATGTTGTTTTAATTTATGTTTGCATAGTGATGGAGGAGGATTCCAAAACACACGTTGGCCGGACCTAATCACCCACGTGGAAGAGCTTTCTGCTCGGCCTTTGAGCTCGGCTCGTCTCATGAGCTCGGCTCGGCCTATGAGCTCGGCTAGGCGTCATGACAGCGATGGGAGGAAAGCGACCGGCCGCGTTGACTGCACGATAGCGACACGATGAAAAGGACAACTCACGACAGAGATGACGTCCGCTAGGCGACGAACCTCGATCAGAGAACCTTGACTATGTGTATTGCATCCCCTATAAAAGGGGCGAGACCCCTCATTGTAATGGACCGGAAGTTGAGAACGAATAAACTCCTACTTTGCATTCTCTCTCTAAAAACTTATATTATTCTTCATTCTCGGTGGTTTATAACCATAAAATTGGTGCTTTCATTGAGAGCAGAGGAACATACTCGTAGGTTAACTCCCGAACGCGAGAATGGTGCAAACAAGGAGCAACGTCCCCACCACCAGCCACGTCATTGGCGAGGAGAACGCGCCGGGCAGCGGCAACGGCACGGGAGGTATCGGCTCGACTCCGGACGCGGTCCAAGCGCTGTTCGGCTTGGGGGTGACCGCGGAGTAGCTCCAGGCGGCCGTTGCGGCACTTTCTGCCTTGGGTGGGAACGTGCCCGGCGCCGGGGCCGGCAAAGCTCTACTCGGCTCCCACGCCGAACACGGTGCCACTTCCTAGCACAAAGGGAAGAAGACCCGGAGGAGAAGGAGGAGGCCCGGCAAGGCCCCGGCAATCGAGGAGGTGATTGTGGAGGACGTTCCAGAGGAGGAGGACAATGAGTCCAGCGAGTGCCGAGTGTCAGCCTTTAGACGCTTAGGAGGGGAAGAGACCCGGGTGTCGGCCTTCGACAGGCTCGACCGCGGACCGGAAGTCCGCCCGGGTGACCTCCGCCGACAAATAACCGAAGGCAGGCGGAGGCATGCTGAGGAGTCCGCGACATCGGATGCTCGCTCGGCGAGGCCCGAGCGGAGCGGAGAAAGGAGGGACGAGCGCACCCAGCGTCGCCATAGTCCAACAAGAACTGAGAAGACAAAGGCCTCTGACCAAGGGGTATCTCGGCTCGCTCGTGAGATTGCCAAGCTCAAGCGCCGAGTGGAGACCAGGGCTCCCTACAGCCAGCCTATCTTGCGGACGGTAACCCCGTTCACTCCGAGGGTTATGTCGGTTCCGCTGCCGGCAAACTTCTGGCCGTGGCAGATCAAGGCCTACAACGGAAGGACGGACCCCCATGATCATTTGTCTAAGTTCTATGCTTCTATGGAAGCGGCGTCAGCCCCGGACGAGGTCAAGTGTCGATGCTTTCTCGCGATGCTGGAGGGCTCCGCGTGCGATTGGTTCAACCGGCTCCCGAAGGGAACCATTGACGATTGGGATACACTAGCGGAGAAGTTCTTGACGCATTTCGCGGCAAACCGAAGGCAGAGGCTCCCTTACTCCCACCTGCTCAACATATGCATCCGCAAGGGAGAGAAGATCCGCGACTTCATAGTCCGGTGGGAAAAGGAAGCCAGAGACGTGCATGGGGCGGATGACCAAGCGTTGGTGGCCATGTTCCAAGCAGCCCTTCCCCGCGGAGAAGTGAGGAAGGAGCTCCGCAAGAATCCTCCCCCCACGTACCAAGAGACCTTGGCGCGCGCTAAGTTCCTAGCCTCGGAGGAGTTCGATGATGCTCCCGACTCTGAGGCCGCGCCCGCCAAGCGAGCTCCCGCAGACTCCGGAGAGGCTGCGAAGAAGAGGAAGAAGAAGAAAGATTACACCGCGGGCCCGAGGACGCCTTCGGCTGGTGTGTACTCCGTGGGTGCGCCCGTAGGGACGGGTCGAGAGCTTGCCCTCTCCTCGCTCCCGCACGTAGAAACCTATGCGGTGTCCAGCAGTGCCAAGTATTGCGAGTATCATCGCAACAACACTCATAACACTAAGGAATGCTTCACTCTCCAGAAGGAGATGCAGAGACTCATCGCCCGAGGGCCGCCTCCCCGAGATGATGGAGCAGCCCCATCTCGGGGGCCGCCGGAAGGAAGAACTTGGAGAAAGCCGGCCGAACCGGTCGCGGTGGCCACGCAAGCAAGGAACCCCGAGAAGAGTCACATCGGGCGAGAGTATGATGATCTAGACGAGGACGAAGCCCAAGGATATCCGGTGGGATTCATCCATGGAGGAAACATCGGCGGGGACTCCGTCGCTCAAAGGAAGAGGTGGAAGCACATGGCCTTCGTCGCCAAAGTCCATCAGACGCCGGCGCCCAAGCACGGAAGGCGTGAGCAAATCCAATTCATGGAGAAGGATCTTCCGAACACGCCGAGCCCTCACCGGGATGCCTTGGTCGTGAAGCTGGAGATTAACAATGCCATAGTGCACCGCACCTTAGTGGACACGGGAAGCTCGGTCAACATAATGTATGAGAAGACCTTCCAAGACCTCGGCTTGGACCGCAAGGACTTAAGGCCTGTGCGCACTCCACTCTCCGGGTTCACGGGGGACTCCATCGAGGCCGAAGGAGTCATCGCCGTGCCCGTGATAGTAGGGGATGGTGCGCACAAGGCCAAGCTGAAGATGGAGTTCATGGTTGTAAGCATCAACTGC